CGGCCAGCCCCCATAGGGGATACAGGCGTTGTGTGCGCGGCCAGCCCCCGGAGGGGGTACAGGCGCCGTGGGCAAGGGGCACGGGTGGGAGCCCAGCCCCCCGGCGGGCGCACCTGGCAAGTGGCAGCAGGACTGAGTGCAGGGCTAATGCCCGTTCTCAAGCTCCCCGCCCTTTTGTCTCCTAGGCCGTTGGCATCTACAGTGAACGATAAGCTGGAACTTCAGGAGTGCCTGGAGCACGGCAGGATAGCAAAGGTCAGCGCCTGAGCCCCCGTGGGGCAGCCAGGGCCAGGAGGCACTGGAGCGTAGCCCTGGGAGTGGGGCCGTGTCCCGACCCAGGGCGCTGAAGTGGGAGGGGGCACGCACTGCACTGCACTGTGTCGCTTTGGGATTTAGGCCGAGGTGGGGCCATGGCCAATGGGGCAGGCCACGGCAGATCCCAGCCAGCGGGGGGGCAGAGCAGGCCCAGTGAGACAGGCAGAGGGGGCCAGACGTGGGGCACACTTTGCGAGCCATTGGGAATCCCCGCACGAGGAGACTGGGTCTGTGACATTTGTGCAGCTCTTGGCAGCGGGGGGAAGCGCCCCCGGATGGACGTCTGAGAACAATGCTCAGCTCGCTCCCCAGGGAGTTTGGAGGGGCTATGCCATTGCTGGAGAAGGGCCGACCCCCTGGGTGCCCCAGCATGTGGGCTCACTTGAGACAGGATCCCTGTTCTGCGCTGCCATGGCCGCGCAGCCACCGCAGCGGGGCGCGGGAGGGTAGCACAGGGCTTGGGTGAATGCCTGGCTGCAGGCAGGACCTAATGACCAGGAGAGGGGAGGGCCAGACTAGCCCAGCTGCTGCCACGGGGCCAGACTCCACCCTCGCCCCAGAGCAAGTCCGGAGCCGGCAGAGGATGGGGATAAATCAGAATAATCCATGAAGGGCTGGGCCAGCGAGAGACCTGAGACTGCTCTGAGCAGACAGGCTCCCTCGGAGCAGCTCTTGGGGGCTGCCAGCTGGGCCCCCATCTAGGCCATGTTAGCCGGGCGGGGGCGTGGCTGCGGCTCTGGTTTGCTCAGAGCGTTTTGCTTTGTCCCTTCCAGTTCAGCAAAGTGCGAACTATCACCACTCGCTCCAACTCCATCAAGCAGGGCAAGGACCAGCATTTCCCCGTCTTCATGAACGAGAAGGAGGACATCCTATGGTGCACGGAGATGGAGAGGTACTGCTGGCCTGAGGGGGTGGGGCGGCTCCCTGGGTTTGCACCGTCTCTGGGCTGGTCTCCCAGGGCGGACGGGCCCCGTCAGCACCGGTAGCCTGGGAAGGGAGGCCTGGGGACACGTACTGCTCGTCTGCTGGTTGTGCCGGAGGACTTGGGTGGCTCTGAATGCATCAGGGGAGCTCTGTCGTTAAGGGCTGAGGGGGAGCTGAATCTCAGAGCGGGAGCTCGTTTGTTGGCATGAAGCAAAGTTCTCTTAGCCCAACCGACTCCACGTCGCTCGCCCCTCCATGAGTCGAGCTTCATGTCCTTCACCTGCCACTTCTCCAGCGGGCAGCGCAGCCCTGGACACACACGCGAGCCCGTCTGTCTGTCTAGGCTTTCTCACCGAGCCCGTCACCTTTACAGTGGACCGACGTGGACCCGAGACGGTTACCGTCAAGCCCGGATCCTGCCAGGTGCTAAGTGGCTCCAAGGAGGAGGATTCCTGTGGCTGAAATCAGCTAACCTGTGCTCTTCCTGTCCCCTCCTTTCCATGCAGGGTCTTCGGCTTCCCGGTTCATTACACAGATGTCTCCAACATGAGCCGCCTGGCCCGGCAGAGACTGCTAGGCAGATCTTGGAGCGTGCCGGTGATCCGCCATCTCTTTGCTCCCCTGAAGGAATACTTCGCCTGCGTTTAAGACACACAGGAACTAGTGAAGTGGAACGAATCAGAAATAAAACCACCCATGAGAAGAGAAGTGAAAATGTGGAACAAGAGAAAAATCAGCACCCAGAAGAGAGAAAGGATTAAACCCGATGGGAATCCACCGCGTCTCCCCAAGCGAAAGGGTTCGGTGTCCTCTCCTGAATTTTCAATGTTCAGCTTTTAGCCTATTTAAAAAAAAAACAAAAACCGTTTTTTTTTTGGTAACCTTTTAATTTTCCGCTCTTTTCTGGATGGGTTTTTCTGTTAGTTTGGTTTCTGCTTCTCGAAGCTGCGAGCGAGGCGAGAGGCTTTCCCGAGCTCGTGAGCAAGCGCTGTCGTAGCAGGAGGGCAAAGCCAGCAGGAAACGCTAGCAGAAACCCAAGCCTAGAGAGGGGAACGCGAAAGCAAGGTTGTGTCGCTCTGAGCTCGAGTTCTGTCTCTGGTCTGGTGAGCGTAGGAGCACAAAGCAGGGAGTGCTCAGCCTGCGCCGTAACTTCCAGCACTGAGCCTTACTTACTTCTACCAGCACCATCACTGGTGATGCAAAGCAAAACCAACTAGCAGGGAAGCCAAGAACACGCACCACACCACACACTTTTCTACAGTATTTCGGGTGCCTACCGCACAGGAAACCTTGAAGAAAGCAGATCCTAGATGCCGCTGTTACCTCTTGTTTACAGTTTATATATATATGATAGATATGAGAGATAGATATATATATATATAAAAGGTACTGTTACTACTGTACAACCTGACTTCATAATGGTGCTTTTAAACAGCGGGGTGAGTCAAAACATCAGCTTCCACGTTGCCTTACGTGCCAGGGCTTCCCACAGAGCTGTGCAGGAGGGGAACCAATGCAGACTGAGTGCCGGGGGCAGGGGAGGTACTGGGCCCCCGCCCCCCGGACAGTGCGGGGGAGGGACGGGAGGCAGTCTCCGTCCCATGTCATGCAATAACCTTTTTCTTTTCTAAAAGGAAGGCCCCCCTCCCACGCACTGGGGAGAAGCGGGTCTGGGGCTGCCCCCACCCGCCCGCCAGGGCCGGGGGGAGAGAAAGCCCTCGCCAGAGAATAACAACACACAAACGTACTGGTGCTTTTCTGTGTACGTCGCCTTTGGGTGTTCTTTTCCGAGGGGCTCCCCTCCCCCGGCCCCTAGGCTGGGGTGCAGCACCGGGCAAAGCGATGCTTTGGGTCACCTCCCAATTCACAGGCTGCAGTTTTATACTGAGAAGCTGATGCCATCTTTGATTCTTCTTGTCTCTTTGTTGTAGAATGAAGAATTTGACTGTAGGTTCATGCCGAGGTGGGGAGGAGGGCCGGGCGGACGCCCCCCATTGCTCACCCAGGCCCGGGGGTGCAGGGCAGAGCTCCGGCTGCCCTGTTGGGTGCTCCCGGCCCGGCAGGGGGCTGGTTCTCTCTTTCTGTGGACGCTGTGAATTCTGTTTCTTTTAGTACTTGATTGAACTGCAGCTGTGCTGTCCCTTCCCACCAGCCACCAGCACGCGGCCCCTCGTGGCCTGGGCGGAGAGCGCACGCTCTGCGGGGCAGGAGGCGGAGGGCCGGCCTGGGGCCAGGGCTAGACTAGGAATCACACTGGCAGGCCGCCTGAGGGAGACTCGCCCCAGCATCTCCAGAGGGGCTGGTGGCCCAGCACCAGCCCGACAGCCTGGGCAGGCAGAGCAGAGGCAGCTTTGCCCCGGGCACCTGCCTATGCAGCACGCTGAGGGAAAGCCAGCAGGCGCCGCGGGCACTCTGGTGCGCAAGCAGCCGCTGCAGAGCAGCGCCAGCCGGGCCAGGGGGAGATCCCAGAGAACTCGAGGGCAGCCCCGAGGGGTGGTACGTTCAGGTGGGCACATGGCCAAAGCTAACCCATCCAGGCCATGAGGGCATAGCCCTACCGCACCCAGCTGGCACCAGGGGAGGATCTGGCCCTCCAGGGGCATTTGCCAGTGTGCCCTGGAACGGCAGGCCCGGGAGGAGCTTGGCGTCTGTCTTGGCCTCTCTGTTGAGTCTGCCGGGGGGAGAGCAGCTGGGAGGGGGCTTTCCCAACGCGCCCCGCGGGCACACGCCCCGAAGGGCACTGATCAGCTGCCATCTCGATAACTTCCCTGGGCTGCCATTGGCCAGCCCCTATCAGCCGTGCCCAGGGCTGTTTGCCGCTGTCCAACCCACCCT